TTATACCCAAGGGCAAAGGGGACCCAAACTCTCCTTCATCCTTCCGGGCACTCTGCATGCTAGACACAGCAGGCAAAATGATGGAGAGTCTGCTCAAAATACGCTTGACGTCAGCCATAGAAAGCGAGGGAGGCCTTTCACCCCGACAACATGGCTTCAGGAAGGGACACTCAACTATAGGAGCAATTGGCGAAGTAGTCGAGGCGGTACATAAGGCCGAAGAAGCCTGCCACCAGGCGCCGCCAATAGTGCTGCTAGTCACACTGGACGCCAAGAACGCCTTCAACTCGGCAAGATGGGACGACATGCTGGAGGCCTTGGAACGGTCGTTCAAGGTTCCAACATACTTGCTAGATATGATCCGGGACTACCTCAGAGACCTTTGGCTTTTGTACGACACAACACAAGGTCAGAGAAAGAGACGTATAACCGGCGGAGCGGCACGGGGGTCTGTACTTGGCCCGGACCTCTGGAACGCCACGTATGACAGTCTGTTGCGCACGGAAATGCCGGAGAGCGCCTTCCTTATCGCCTTCGCGGACGACGTGGCCGCCGTCATAACAGCAAGAAATGTCCAGCTAGCACAGCTCAAGCTAAACCAGGTCATGCGCAACGTCAGTGGATGGATGAGCGATCACGGTCTGCAATTGGCTACAGCCAAAACGGAGATCGTGCTCCCCACCAGTAAACGGATCCCAACAATTATAAATATGATGGTCGGACCTCAACTCGTGACGACTTCTAGGTCTACAAAATACCTAGGGATGAAGCTTGACAGCAAACTCACATTCTGGGAACACTTCCATGAAGTATGTGAAAAATCTGCGCAGAGCACGGCGGCTCTAAGCCGGCTGATGGTGAACGTGGCCGGCCCGGAGCCATGCCGCAGGAAGCTTCTTATGACATCAGTCCCATCGGTGCTCCAGTACGGGGCAGAAATATGGGCTGACGCATTGAAAGTCAAAAAATACCGGATTTAAATGTCTTCGGTCCAGCGCAGAGGGGCACTACACATTGCTTCTGCATACCGTACAGTGTCCGCGGACGCGGTTCTAGTTATTTCTGGCGTCATGCCATTTGAGCTACTTGCCTACGAGCGTGAAGAGATTTACAATCTCAGTGCCGAGATAGGTCGAGCAGCTGTCCAGCAGTGGCAACAAAACTGGAACGCGAGCACAAAAGGTCGATGGACGTACTCCCTGATAGCCGACCTTCACACATGGTTGAACAGACCGCATGGGGAAGTCGATTTCTACCTGACGCAATTCCTCACCGGTCATGGTTACTTCCGAGAATATCTTCATAGAATGGGAAGGGTGGACTCACCGTTCTGTCACTACTGCGGAAACGTCGAAGATAACGTGTACCACACATTCTTCACCTGCGAACACTTCGCAGAATCTTGGAAGAAAAACACGGAGACATAACTCCGAACAACATAGTTGGGGTAATGATCTCCAGTGCAGAAAAGTGGGAAGCAGTTGCGAGATACGTGAAATTCGTACTACGCTGCAAACGAGAGGACGGTTGTCTACTGAGGACATCCGAATGAAACGCCCCTACGAAAGAGCAGCCCCAAGGCTCTAGCAGCGCGCTCCTGCATCTGAAGACATGCAGAATTGCGGTGCCAGATGCGGGATTCTTGCGCGGGCGGTGAGAGTTTGTGCATACAGCATTTCCCTCTCCTACGAAAATAAGAAAAAAAAGGGCTAAGCTCAGGACCTTACCGGGGTCACACAGGGAGGATCGTGAGCGGCCTACTCCGGTACGTTAGCTGCGAATAACCAATAAGCAGTCCCAGACCAAGAGCGGCAGGAGATGAGGGCCTGATTTAAAAGATCAGAAATGCTTGATGAATTTCCTG